CCCTGTCTGAAACGCCTCCATTGGACTCCTTTGTTTACTTCCGTAAAATAATTATATCACTATTTAAACCTCGCTCTTCAGACACATTGTTTGTTGGCGGGACATTTCCGACACATCTCCAAGCAGTTCCGGCCAGGTAACCAATCAGAGCAGACCGGGCTCTGGTTTCAGACAGAGGGTGAAAAGAGGTGCTGCAGCACAGGCAGTATGAGGAAAATAAAGAGCGTTTTGTATATTAAAGATGTCACAGTAGAGGCACAAAATAAAAATATGAACTTGGGAATTACCATAATACTGTACAGTATGTCCTCTTTAATCAAAAGAGTGGACGCCTTTGATAAGCCTATTAGAGACAGCTGGGGAAATGAGATAGAGAATAAATAACGTAGGCAGTCTGCTTGATTAAACTTGCGCTGAGCTTCATTTCAACAATAAGAAATGCATTTATTACATAAAAGGCTTATTTTTCATTTGTAATATTCCCTGCGTGTGTTTTGGTGCTACAGGGTTACGTTGATGCCGGTGTAGAGCAATGTCTGCATGTGCTGTACCTCCCTGGTGTCCCCGAGCTGTTTGAGAAGCGGCTCCAGCTGCAGGTGGCCTTCCTCCCGCCGCAGGACATCAGGCTGACCGGAGAGGGCGTGTTCCCAAGGATCACACTGAATCTTCCAAGAAACATGTGTATGCATGAACATGACCTCATACACACAGACATGATCATATCTCTTCGTAACTAGCCAACAAGATGACTATTTAAACAACTGTTTTCCAAATCTATAACTATGCTTAACAAAAAAAAAGCTATACCTGCGATAGAGTAGTGCAGGAAGGAATCCTAAAACATGGAAATGAGTTAGCATTTCACAACTTCCAGTTCCAATGCCTAAACAATGTCTTTGGTTAGATGCCCAGGTCTGTTGTTAACACAAGCTGAAGAGAGATTTTCCCAAATAATTTAGATGAATAGACATCATCACAACGAACATTATCTGGCTTTAGCTTAATGGTGGTGATGCACAGCCATGCCACCATGGAGTAGTACGTATATGCTTTTTACTTATGGCTGTTGCTTTTGCACTTCAAACCTTTTAGAAGTGGTGTTAATATGTGGAGGTTATCCTGCTGAGCAAAACATTCAAATGTCGTAAATGTGTGTTTGCCACATATCTTGTTTTTTCAATACTCCAAAATCACATTGAAAAACCCCATAGCTTTTGGTTGAGGTAGTACTTCCTGGTCGGCCTACAAAAATACCTCATCGCTGCACCACTCTGTAGACTTACTGATGTATTGTGCTTAACTGTATATTATAATTGCCCAAATGAAATGATGGTGTCAGGTGAAGCCACTGTGGCTCCTACATTATTCCTGAATAGCATGGCTCCATACCAACACATATTGAGACATATAACTGGTGTAATTGTTGTGGTGCTGTGATTCCCTTGCAGCAGATGAGTGCTACCGTGATGTGGTGCAGCAGGCCGGAGCAGCGGTGGAGGCCGACAGAGTCAAAGAGGAGCTTTTGACCGCTGGTGGAGGAGCACCGACCGAGGCCAACTGCACCCCCACAGTCAGTAACTAAGATAAACATTTTATGCAATGAAACGTCATGTAGGTTACTAGTAAGCATACTTCATGTAGTGTGTAATGTTTCAATGTATTGTTGTAGTACAAGAGAAATTAGGGATTCTAGAGAGTAAAAGCAATCAAATTTCTCCTTAATTTACCAAAATGTGTAATTAGATAATGCATCATTAGCATATTTAAACATAACATTTCAGAAAATAATACAAGAGAAATCCTCTCCTGGAGTAAAATAAAGTGAAAATGTATTCACCCTATTTAGCCGTAGTTTACTGTCTTGCAAAATGTATGGAATTTGAATAAATGTCCAAAAAGACAGTTTTCTCATACCATTTCCGTTTTTGTATACATCGAAATTCCAAAGGCCTGTTCATAATATATCTTTTCTTTTTTGAATTCATTGGCAAAATTCTTCTAATCACTGTATTTTCTCAATGATGTAGGGACTGTTAATTATGGAGTGATTTAAGGCCATATTCAGACCCCATTGTTCTCATTTCTGTTTTGCAAATGTATGCAAAGAAGCACAAACTTAAAGGTAATGCCTCATTGTGATTTAAGCATAACGTGTAGGCTAACTTGTATTTAAAAAGAATACCTGTCGACACACAATACATTATTATTTTTGGGAGGTTTCATGGTGATCTTTTACTTGAATCTTTTTCAATAATGACCTGTAGTGTTTTCCCTTAAAAGGCTATTCATGCCATTGTAGTAAACATTCATGCTCCAAATGTATTTTGTATCCATGTGAGCATGGCAGTGCCACTACATCACTGCTGTGATTAATATTCTGAAAGGCCTTACCTGCTTCTTATCTGTGTATTGATTTCCTGGGGAGTAAACAAGAACCGTTGCATAACAATAGAGATAGCTGTTGTGAAGCTTATCCACTCAGTGTCTACTCATGGTTTGTGTGTTGCCTCAACCACATCCTGGACACTTTCATCTACATTCACCGAAGAAGTTAACGCTCTTATCTGCATATTCAACATCAGATAAAATAAAGTGTATAACAAAAAACACTTTACTTAGTGCAAGTGATCAACTGGGGGTTACCCCTAAGTTAAAATGTATGACGTTTTACAATACATATCTATACATTGTAGCCTTCATCTCCCCAAAAATATCATCATATTCCAAACAAGAAATAACCATTTCTAAGTTTCATTCATTCCTATTTATATTCTATATGCTTTTAATGAGGGGTTTGTTCATACAGTATACAATTCAGGCCCTCATTTATTTAACATTGTATTCTTTTTTGTATAGATTTTGACTGATTCATGGAGTGATAAAGAGAGATATCCAAAATAACCTTTGTAAATCCCTTATAAGATAATGCTCCATTTGTACTTAATCAATGTGGGACGATTCATTGGGATCTATTCATTAAAATAAGTTGCCCTTATCACATGTATTGTTTTTCCTAAAGATATCCTGCATGCCATTGTAATCAACGTTCATGCTCAAAATATATATTCATTCATTGTGGAAAGGAAATGGAATGGAAGCGCTACTATATCAGTGCTGAGATGAGGAAACTGGAAGGGGTTAATTGCTTACAAATGTCCCAGTTATAGGACTCATTCCTGCACCACTCTATTTAGCTTGGAATCACGACAAGGGATATTCAAATTGTCAATTTATTCCAGTAGAAATTGAATAGCATCCAGATTTGATTCTGTTCTCTATGTGTGGTGAGATTTAAAATGGGCTCTGTCTCAGGAAAATAGATTTGGAGGAACCTTGAGTTATTGTTCTCTCTGATGAGACTTGGCTGTTTAATGCTTATATAAGCCTTCAATACTTGTTTGTAACTTTTCAGTGTTTATGTACCCCTCCTTCTCTCTCCCCCCCTCGCTTTTCTCTCCTTTTCCGCTGCCTCCAGTATGAAGAGCTGCTTCACATGGAGATTGAGAGAGCGCTGGTCAAACAGAATGCTCTCGCTGTGACCGGAAGCCTGCAGGAGCGCAGAGACTCACAAGGCTCCTCCAGAAAGTGGCACAAACTTAGTCAGTAAGTTCACACACACACACACACACACACACACACACACACACACACACACACACACACACACACACACACACACACAGATCGAACAGATGGTCGACTCACTGGATTGAACCAAGAACTGTGTTGTAGAATTTGATAGAGTTTGGGTTAATGAGCAATATCTCACTGGGCATGTTTTGTTTTTTATCTGATGCTTGTGCAACTTGATGAATGTCACAGAGTGCATGGGCAGTTATTATTCCAAAAATTACTCAGATCCTTTACCTAAGTAAAAGTAGTGATACCACAGTGTATAATTACTCTGGAACAAGTACGATTCCTACATTCATTACTTAAGTAAAGTACAAATAAAGATTGTATCGTGTTTTTTACGTCTTCACTTCTTCCTTTTTCCATCGCCCAGGTTTCCTCTTCCAGAGTATGTTTTGGATTTTGGTTATGTCATTCTCGGCCAAGTCCTCAGTCACACTGTGAATGTGACCAATACTGGAGCAGTGGCTGTGTCCTTCCAACTCAATGAAAAACCTCTAGCTGGCTCAGGTACTGTAACACAACTCTTTACTCCCTATAACATGCTGTGGCACTTTGAGTGCTTCAGCCTTGTGTCTTTTTTATGACATAACTCAGGATTCAAAAGAAAAATGGAGCAAGAAAACTGTGACAAGAAGTGTAAGTGTAAAGACAGTTGGAGAGTGTGCGAGTATTGAGATAAATAGGCTACCAGTACAAAAACAAAAGAGAACAAGAAAGTGAAGGAGATTGCGGGGGGGGGGGGAGACAAGTAAGGCGGAAGCAAGAGGACACATTTGAGCACAGTAGCAACAAAGAAGCCGAACAAATAAATAATAAAAGCGATAGAATTCCTGTGTCGGCTAAATGTTATGCGCTGTAACACACAAAAATTAAAAAGCAATAAAGTCACCATCTTAATCTTAATCTTATGAGGGATGAGCGTATATCTCCTGCTCTGAAGGATTAGATCAGAATAAAATGTAATGAATAACTGATGGAACTAACGTAAAATTCTCAAAGGCTATTGAGTGTGAGTAGCATTTAACACTTCTGCGCTTTCGCTTATCGAAGAGCAACTCTTTTATAAAATTGTTGTGCGTACGATGCCTGAAACTATGTCTGAGCGTAATCAGAAGAATTTAATCAAATGCTTCAGTAAATACCCCAGTCCTGAATGCTTCCTTCAGAAAAAACTGAGTGCTAAAGAGACTAAATGAGACTTCGAAATCCTGAAATCACATTTAATATTTACCCCCTGGCAAAATTCTTCACCTCAAAGCTTTATTTTGGCAATTTTCAAAAGTTCATTGGAAAATTGCCTTCGCTTTGTGGAAAGAACCCTTTGTTATGCTCCGGGGGGCTTACAAAAAGAAATGTCATCACTGCCACAACATCGTATATCTGCGGCCTGTTCTTTTTTAAATCATGTTTCAATTGCTTTTTGTTTGTGAATATCTCTAAAGAATTCCTCAAAGTTAGCTCTTCAAAGGATTCAGCCCAGACAGACGTGCAAAAGAGTGAAAAACCGCCCTGCGGAGAGACACGAGACTTAGGCCAGTCCAATGACCCCCAAGATCCAACCTGAAGAGGGGACACACAAGTTGTCATGTCGGATACAGGTACACCTGGCATAAAAAGGACGGCACAAATCATTGTCATTATTGCGTTGGTGCGTGTATGCCATTTC